TGTTTTTCTGATGTTCATATTGCAGATCCAATACATTGCCTCCTAGCGCGCACCCCATGCGTCTCCAAATCTCATCCATTAGATTGTCCCTTGATCAGATCTAGCATCCAGCAAGCACAGAACATGGTGGACCCCTAGGAGCAGGGAGCATTGGATCACGCACAAGGCAGCTGGGCCTATCCTTCTGGGCTTCAGCAATTCAACTTCACACCCCCAGTTTACTTATGATATCAGGCCCATTTTATACTTTTCTTTGGTTTTATTTTCTCTTTTATTGTTTTAATTATTTTTGTTTTGTTTATTTCAAAAATCTTTTTTATTAAATCATAAAATCAAGAAAACCACAAAAATGTAGAATTAGTTTTTTTTTTATTATTGAAATTAGTTTTTTTGGAAATTAATTAATTTAATGATATTGACTTGATTATTTTCATAATTAAAATTAATTAGAAAAATTAGGTTTAATTCAAATTATTTTCTCAATAAAAAATACACAAAAATATTTTTTTAATTAATTAGTTTTTTTAGGCTTATAATTAATTCTTGTATTTAATTCGTCGCGCGCGCCTTTACTTTCTTTTAATTCAAAATATTGTAATTGTTTCAAGTTTGTAATAGATTAATTAGGGTTTTAATTTCCGCATCTTTATTTTCAGTCAAATATTTGTATCTGCCCAAAAGCCTTGTAATAGTTAGGACTTTAATTTCTCGCACTCTTTAATTTTCGTAACTATTAAACTGCTAGATGTATGGACATTAAGATTGTGTGCGAAAGATAAACCAACAATAAAAAGGTAGATAACCCTAATTGTGCAAAGATAATTAATTGAAAAAAAAACACACATGCACATGCTCACTCCTAGGTTTTGCCCCACTTGGTTGCCTCAGAAATAATGGTCATGTCCCTCGAACATAGAGATATCTTAGCAATGACCCGCAATTCAAAGTCGTCATAAAGATCATAGTCCCTCATTGTCCCTCGAGTTGCCTACGAGAAATGATCTTATGATGACAGTCCCTTTGAGACGCTAAGGTATCCTCACATGTTGCCTTCAGTGACCATTTCGTCCCTTCGAACATCCCTTAAAACTCCAACGATAGGGCTACCTACTTCTTGATAGTAGGATAACATTGTCTAAAGGAAACGAGAACAAATAATCTTTTTTCGAGTAGGTAGAAACTCTTAAATACTTGCTCATAACAATAAAAACTCTTTTTCACAAACACTTTCAAAATAGTTTTCAAAAACAACTTCGTCACACTCTTGAGAACATATACAAGAGTTATCACAAAGTTAAACAAAACTTTTGGAAAAACACACACAAGCAATTTCAAAAATGAGCAAGTACCTAAGAGCCAGTGGAAAACCACAGATGGAAAGGGTGCTAACACCTTCCCTTTCTATAATCTACCCTCCCCTCGTACTCAAAAACTCTTGAAAAAAGGTTTTTTCTGTTCTTTTTCCTTTTCTTAGTTGGATGAAATAAAAGTCGGTGACGACTCTTGCTTACTGTAACATTTGCGAATACAAAACGCAAACCAATATTAACAGTCAATTCTGCCACCGTATCACACCTACGCTACGGCTGAATCTGACCTGTGCAATCGTGACTGATAAACCCGCAAGAACACACCCGTTCTTGAAGGATAAACCCTCTAGTTTTTCCTCGAAACCCCCTTCTGAATCTTCAACTCAGCTAAGATCACTGATCGTACCACTGGACGTTATCTCTATGATCCCTTGATTCGATGAACAAAGATGATTATGTTTCAATGTTATTGAACCAAGATGATTGAGAAGATGATGAAGACGGTGTATCTTTCAGGTTTTTAATGCTCATAAAAGTAGATGTACACCAAATGAATTTGTGACACCTTCTTGTATGTTTTTCTTGAATTGTAAAATTGACTTATATATGTAACAAAAAAATGTTAGAAGTAAAACCGCAGTATGAGTCGATGCATATCTCATATGAGTCGACTCATGTTAGTTACAAAACATGGGATGAGTCGATACAGTGCATTATGTATCAATACATACTGTTATCAAGACATATTACAGAGAGACAAAATGTGTATGAGTCGATGGAAAACACGAATGTGTCGATGCAACCAAGAAATGAGTCGACGCAAACCATTATGTATTGATACGAATTGTTGTCTATGCAGAATCTAGAACCTTTAATTTCGTATGAGTCGATACAAAATGCGAATATGTCGATTCATACTGAGTTGGTTTTGATTTCCAGAAACAAGAAGTGATATGTATCAATGCATAAGTGCATGTGTCGATGCATAAAGGTTTTTTAAAACGTTTTCTAGAAGCATGAACTTGACATGTATCGATGCAAAGTGCGAATGAGTCGACTCATACCGAAGAACAATTATTTTTGTGATTTTAGCTTAAGTATGTGTCGATGCAAAGCATTTTGTATTGACCTAAAATCATGATACATGTGTAAAACAAATTTTTGACCCTTTTAGAACATGCTACACTATTATCATATCATGCACACATAGAGATCAAACACAATAAACATTCATTAATACTTATATCACACATATTTGCTATCATACAAAACTACTCAAAGAAAATGGTTGCTCACAAAATATTGTAATCCTAAAAAAGATATATTGTACATAGGAAACCGAATGAGGGGGGAGCCATCCACATTTCTAATCATCAAGTTTAGAAAAGATCATAACCCATACCTCAGGTTTTCCAAAAAAAAGTTCGAGACTCAAAATATCGCAAGATGTCAAGACCGTATTAAAATGAAGCGACGACCGAGATAAAGGTGGTGGAAACACACTCCAATCAGTATTTGAATCTGTATCTCTCAAAGCTCGATAAAAAACCTTTTCACAAACAAAGGCAAAAGTAACCCCTAGTGTATCAGGATCTGCTCAATTGCCTGAAATATCATTGTCATCCATTTTGGTTGAAATCGACATCGTTGCCATGCATAAAATATATCTTTAATAGAACTGACACAAGCACAATAGGATGAACAAATTTGAATGATTTCTATGTTTTACTCAAAAAACACAAAAGTGAATAGAAAGGGGATTTCAAGCTCAAATAAGAAACCTTTACCCTTTATCTAAGCCCTTAAAGGGCCATTCAATCAACAATATTCGCCCGAAGATGGATATTTCCTCGAAAAGTGATCCAGAGACAACTAATGACTCTAAAAAGAGAAGTCATCTCACCACCACCCAACGAAGACGTGTTAATTTCCCTAAGCACCATAACACGACTTCAAAGAATAACATTTCATGTACCTTTCCCCAATGATTATGTGTGTCCCATCCAGGGTATCCACGCCCGTGAGCTCCCTAGGCGGATGGCGAAATATATTACAAGTTGTCGCATTGTCAACCAAGCACAAGGGCTTGCGGAATAACCATTATGGGCCGATCGCAAGACCCAGTGGATAAAGCATAATAATGGGATGATGAGTGGTCACGATGGAAGTATGCAATCCAATTTTCCCTCCATACAATAGAATCCTCTTCAGGAAATCATCAAGAATCATCTCCTAGAAACGATCCAACGATCAACTGCATTTTACTCACATGCAATTATCAACAATTTATGCCATTTTTAAAAAAGAGCACACGCAACACTTTTAAGATACAATTCATATTCCGTTTAAATTTCACTTTCACTCTCTTATTAATTCGAGCCTTAGAACGCGAACCTTGCATACCTGTCTCGCTTCCACACTTTACTAATTTCTTATCCTCCATAGATGGAATCACTCAATCCAACTAACAGCAACATCTTAATTACTCATATATTATAGAAGTGAACATTTGTGCCGATTTTTTTGTGCAAATATTATCCTCAACACAAATTCTACAATTTTTTTTTAAATTCTATCCCTATTAAAATTAAGAGTGATTTTTTAAAGGAATTAAACATACATTTCTTTAAATTTTCTTATTATTGATGGGCTAACTTAATTTTTTTTATCACCTTTCCTTCTATCAATGTATGAGAAGTTATATAAAAAAATTCTTATATATTTTGTATTATTCCATCCGTTTTAAAATAACTGTCGTTTTAACAAATAAATTTTATTTTAAAATAATTATTATTTTCACTTTTCAATATAGTAATATTTACTATTTTTTCAATTGTATCTTTTACTTTTTACTCTCTATACTGCTTTCAATATATTAATAGATTTAATTTTATAAAAATGTAATATTTTATAACAACATAATTATATTCTTTAATTTATATGTAAAAACTTTAACACAATGATTTTAACTCACTCTCCTTAGATGGATGAGAATTGTCTCAAATGAAAATTTGATGGGATAGTAAAATGTCCATCTATACCATTGATTTAAAAAAAAATACCTTTATCTTACTTAATTGAAAAAATTTGAAAGGGTGAGATTCCACTGCACATAATTTTCACGGGAGACAATCTCCTCCCCCACCTAGATGTGAATTTAAAATATGTAGACTGGTTCATAGCTCTCATAAAATGCAAAAACTATACTAGAATTTGAAAACTCCTTATGTGGAGTAGTAGTACGTTAGATGTGACAAAGTGCACAGAGTATGAATTCGCCATGTCAAGTCGCTGTTGTTCTTTTATTGTTTTTTTCATCTCACTATATCTTTTTAACGTTAAATCACATCACTTCAGTTTCCAAGACCCTCTCTCTCTCCCTCTCTCTCTGACTTTTCCATTTCCTTTGCATTCTTACTTCTTACTCTTCCACCACACACACACCACTTTAAATTTTTATTTATTCTGTAAAACCCATGTGCCTCAGTTTTTGTATACTCTCGAGAACTTGTGAAGAACAACACTAGCTCCTTGTACTCCTACTACTACATACCAATAGTACATAGAGTCTCACAAAAACAAACTAGAAACAACTTGCTTAACTTAGACCTTTTTCTTTTGGTTGCAAAAAGAAAAAAAAAGAGAGAAAAAAGAGAACTCTTGTTTCATTCCAAACAGCACTTTGAAGAAATGACTAAAGAAGAAGACTTTAAGCTACTTAAAATCCAGGTACTTCTTTCTCTCCTTGTTAACATTATCCTTAAAATAAATAATGCTTTCTGTTCTTTCTTTTAACACCCCTTTTTTCTTTTTGGTTTTTTAGCTTCCTATTAACATAACATACTTGGGTTTTTGGTCTTTTCACTAAAAAAACTACCTTTTCTGTGTTTTATTTTGTTGTTTGCTTTGTGTTTTCTTCTTCTACAGACTTGTGTTCTCAAAGTGAATATTCACTGTGATGGTTGTAAGCAGAAAGTGAAGAAACTCCTTCAAAGAATTGAAGGTGAGACTTTCAGAATCATTCTCAAACTTTAGTTTACTCAGAATAATGTGGTTCCTTTTGTAAGTAGTGAGTTTAAGGTAAACATAAAATTTGAATTTTTTTTTTTGCCTATATTCAACTGAACATGAAAGCTACTTTTCATAGCTTCATCGAAAATTTCACGCTGTAAAAAGCTTGGTATTTATAACTTTTAATTTTATTTTATTTATTTTCCTTCTGAAAAAGGCCACAGTTTGAACATGATGTATTACACGGATAATGTGAACATAATTCATAAAATGTTTAGAATAATGAAAAAAATTGCCTTTTTTAATGATTAGAAGATTTTTTATGTGCATGGAATTTTTATATTTTTTGGGTGTTTTGTTGTTTAGGTGTTTATCAAGTTCAAATAGATGGAGAACAGCAGAAGGTAACAGTTTCAGGAAGTGTGGATGCTGAAACATTGATCAAGAAGCTTTTAAGATCTGGAAAATATGCTGAGCTTTGGTCTCAGAAAACAAACAATAATCAGAATCAAAAGCAGAAAAACAACAATGTTGTGAAAGATGACAAGAACAAAGGACAGAAACAAGTGCTGGTTAAAGGGCTTGAAGCCTTCAAAAACCAGCAGAAGTTCCCTGCTTTTATTTCTGAAGAGGGCGAAGAATACTACAACTACGGTGATGATGAAGAGGAAGAAGATGAAGAGATGCGGATCGTTAGGGAGAAAGCGAATCAAATTCATATGATCAGACAACATGCAGCTGATGCAAGTAATGTGAAGAAAGGGATTGGAGCTAAGATGAACAATGCTTGCAATGGCAATGATAATGGATGCAAGAAAGGAGGCTCGAATCAGAATATGGGAATGAAGGAAAGTGCGAACGGGGTTGATCAGAAAACAGTGGCAGCTATGAAGATGAACAATGCTCATTTGGTTGGTAATGGTGAAACCCTCCACCTCGGAGAATCCAAACGGGGTAGTGACATTGGTGCTATGATGAACTTAGCAGGTTTTAACGGTAATAATAACAACAATAACAACAACAACGGTGTTGGTAGTGCTACTACTATTCTAGGTGGAAACTCCGGGGCTATTCCAAACGGTGGTTTTGTTACTGGACAATTTCCACCAACTATGCTGATGAACATGAATGGTTTCAACAACCATTCATCTCCATTGTTGAACATGAACATGAACATGCAACAAGCAAGGCATGGTATGATGATGCCACAACAACAGCCTCAAATGATGTATCACCGGTCACCTTTTGTTCCTCCTAACACTGGCTACTACTACAATTACAATAACTACATTCCTGCAAATTACTCTTATGCAAATACCAGTGAGGATCAAAACTCTGCAGCAGACATGTTCGGTGATGACAATACTACCAGCAGCTGTTCAATAATGTAATATGATAGTGATTGTAGAGTCAAAAAAGTGAAGGAAAAGAGATTCATAAAGGATTGTGTTTGACCTTTAAAGTCCCATTTTCCAAGTTAGTATAGTAGTTTGACTCATAATTTGGTGGGACAGTATGTTTTTAGGATGTGGATTTGTTTGTTTGTGAATGGTTTAATCACTGTACTATGTAGTAGTGGATTTCATGTTAAATTGTCCCTTGTTTGTTGTGTTTCTTATATTGATATTCTACCGTTTCTTTTTTGAATCTAACTTATCGAGCTGATCTAAGTGAAGAGTTTAAGGGACATTAATATGAGACATTCATTCTTAAAGTAGACGATGTGACACAAGTTACTATATTCTGAGCACACAAACATGATGGCACTGTGTTTGGTTGACAAAGTGAATCAATGTGAATATTGTAATGTGCACGTTAGGTGGGTTAGCACGCGTATGTCACGTGTGTAATGTAATGATGAGTGTAACTGGTAGGAGTGTAGGACCACATTGAAACTTGAATGTTGTGTTGTTTTATTGGTGATATTATATTTACTATGATGCTAATTATAGACACATGATACTGATAGCAAGGCATTAACTAGTGTACTATTACTATATTCTACCAGAAATAAAGAACAGGTTTTATGGTTTTAATAATTGTTGCGATGCACATGTACTATTACTGTGTTTGATTAATGCTTATCCATATAGCGGTTAGAAGTACAACTGAATATGGTAGGATATCATTTGTTTAGTTAAAGGAACTTGAAAAAGTTAGAGTGAATGAACGAACTGCTACTTCGTATATTCTAGTAATTAATCTGGTGGGTCTAAACTTTCGATAAAGATGGGGATGGTAAACTATTAACACATTATTAAAACTATTTAAATCACCTTTCTTCCATTAAGGTTATGTAGTCGATGAGTAGGTCGTCAAATCAAAGAGTTAGAAGTTGAACTATATTTGTGACTTTAATAAAATAAGATGATTTAGTAACATAAATCAAAAACTTGTATAGGTATTAAATCTTGTTTAACTCCATGATTTGGTCTAATCGAGATGCTTATGCTATAAGGTCTAACAAAAATATTTGGGGTGATCAAAACCTAATATCTTATTACTATTTGTCCCAATCCAAAAGTATCACAGCCCAACCAACTGGTAAGTCAGGAGAAAAACAACTTAAAAGTGTTCTAATCCACAATAGAGGTGGCCTAAAAATATCGCATACCTCTAATAACTTTAGATTTAAGCGTCAATATGTTTGCGGGTACCACCTCACATGTCAAACTAAAACATCAAGACATTAATGATACTAGAGTTCACCACGAGATTCTCATCAACACTACCATCAAACTATCATCCAAATATCCACCATCCTTAATTGTAAATTGAATTTCATATAAAACAATTTTAAATTTTATTTTACTTGATGGTTTGGTCTTTAAAACATTCTTAAAAAGGCATGATATTTAAAAAATGTAAAAAAAATCATAGATTAAGTTGGTTTTTCACGCATATTAACCCTTTTTTAAATTTTATCTTTCATGAATAGATATAAAAGCTTGTTTGTTGGGATTTTAGTTTTTTATTACTTTTAAATTTTATTTTATGAAAGTTTTTATTATTTATTTTGAAGTTTTATTTAGTGTTTTTAACAAAATATTCTTAAAATTGTATGGATATTAAATCTTGTTTAACTCGATGATTTGGTCTAAAAGAGATGCTTATACTATAAGGTTCAACAAGATATTTGGATCATCCAAGCCCAATATCTTATCACTATCCAAAACATTGGTGGCCAGAAGTATCTTGATCCAAGCGATAGGTAAGTTAGGAGATAAACAACTTAGAAGTGTTTAGTCTAAAAGGCATGGAGCTTAGAAGATAGACAACTCATAAGGCAGACAAATCAGAAGTGTCTTACAATTATTTGAGCTTGAATTTGATGTAGATGAAGGATTTCTTGAGTAGGAACATATTAAATATCTTTTTGAATCTTAGACTTTCTATGATTCATTCTTATGAACTTTCAAAACACACTGTCCTAAATTTTTGTAAACAAGAAAATGTATACATGAAATTATAGCCACACAATTTGCAATTCCTTACACGGTACGAATTCGAGAAAACTGTCTAAGAATCATATAAAAATGAGAGGTATACAAAGTCACTATGCTATTTGAGTTTATGCCATGTTCAAATGTAATAATTGACTATTCTTAAAAATATATTTGAGAAAAACTTACAAGTTCTGCATCTTCAATTTTCTTAGTACTTTATATTGAATGTGAGAAAAACTTACAAGTCTTGCATCAACAATTTAACTAACATTGATTTGAAGACTCAATTATAAATAGCTACTTTATATCACAAAATTAGTCTACACTCTAACTATATGATGATCGAAAAGAATAGATTCATATGTCTGTTACAGTGATTTGTTGTTTCTAATGTGGTGGAGAGAGAATTGACTTGTAAGCTTAACACTTAAATGCTCAAGTCACTAAGAGAATAAAAAACAGAATTTGAATGGAAAAGATTTGAATACCTAAGAAATGGTATGATCTCCCCCTTACATGGGATAATTTGTTAGCAACCGAACGTGTGTGATTAGGTACTTTATGCGTTCATGTGTTTGATCAATCTGGACAATAAGGATAACTCTTACGAGTGAGATTGTCTATTCGGAGGGGAGAAGAGGTTCATGTGCTCTTCGTTGAATTTTGCTTCATCCTACTATTGGGCTTATATGCTTTTTGGACCATGCGGGTGGTCCATAATAGTTGCCCATCAATCCCTTGTCTTTGTAGGGCGATGGTTTGTGACATATGTCTCTACACGATCAATAATTCTAAGGATACAAAGACCTTTGATAGGACATTGGCGCTCTCGAGAATGAACACATTAAATGCTTCTTTCGTAATACGTATTATGGTGTCAGGAATGATTGGCATATCTCTCTAGACTGGTTAGTAATGACAATTCTCTTACCTTAGAGTGCTCGAGTGCCATTCAACGTGTTTTTTAGGAGATCTTAACCGTTGATAATGGTGGGAAATCTTACCATTTGCGATGCTCGAATAAGGTATATAAGAATTTTGAATTGCCATTTTATCTTTACATTTGTTGTTGACATGTAAAATATTGTTTCTTCTTTTAGCATTTTTTTGGAATGCTTTTTGTTCAAGTGCAAGATCAAATTCGACCAAGGGATAACTGATGTGGGTCTTACGACTAACTAAGGAGTTTTTCCCTCAAACAAGGATAAAAGGATATGCATTCAATATGACGATTACACGATCCTTTTCCATGAATGCTTGTTTTGTCTCATATGGTACCACCTTCCATTTAAGTAGTTTGAAGTTGGTGTACTGAATCATCTTCTTATTTCCCTTTTGTAGTTGCATCCAGTGAGTTTGGCGTCTGTTAAATTTTTCCAGCATTGGTGCGAATAAAAGGGGAGTAAGCCAAATCTCATATTGTTCTTCCACCTTTTCAAAACTCGAAATACTACCAATTATGCGAATAGCTTCAATTTGATTTCTTTTAGGCAAATCATCTGATATTTTGAAACTCATTATGATAGTGTGAAACATTTTTAGGATCACTTTTTCCCGGTGCTTCCTCTTACCGAGGAGGTTCATCCAAAGATATGTAAATTAGAGCCATGTCCTTTGTCTGCATGCACAAATATCTTTTGCAAATACTAGACTCAAAGCCAGTACTTGAGATGAGTAAGGATGTATCACTACCAGGAAAAGGACCTGTTCTGAGAGGAACCATTATTGAATAATTAATTGGCAGCCTTATGATAGAAACTTGGCTATGTTGGTGGGGTTGTCCCCTCCGATGCAACGTCAAGAAACTAGTTTAAAAAGGTGTATTCATACCAGTTGTGTGGTAAAGGCCAAATTAAAGGAGGAAAGGAAGAAATTCTTTGGTCAGTGGACTCAAGTTCTTGTTTTTTGTTACATATCCTTGAATATTCCCTGACACCTCATTTATTGATTGTGTAGATTTAATGGAAAACGAAAATGACATCTGAAGACTCAGGAAGGAGATTTGTGTCGTTGCTGCTTTAATGGGTATTCTGAGTACGCCTTCCCTTAGGGGAGATTCTTGCTTGGGTACGCTAGTCGAGACACCCTATATCCTGGTTACATGGTTGTTCATCGTGTTTTTCGGTAAACAACCGTTGATCTTCCAAAAAGGGTAAATTTTTGGTTACTCGCAGGATCGATCAGTTTGATCCTAAGACATATGCTAATTTTTGACGTTTTTGGATATAAATTCTAATGTAAATAAAGAACACACGTTCGACTGAGAAAGGTTAAGGTGTGAGACGAGTTTGAGTGCAGAAAGTAAATAGAAAAAATGGTTTGGGAAAAGTTCGAGTGCAGGAATCTGATAAAAAGTGCAAGTAAAGTTCAAGGGAAAATGGATGTTTGCAAGCAAGATAAAAAGGCAAGGAATATAAAGAGAAATGTAAAAGACTTTGATTATAAAATATGGTGTTTCAAACGTACATTTTCAGTATTCTTTCTCATGCAACGGATACTCGAATAGTATTGAATGACTTGTACAGTTAGTTGAACACACGGAAATCTACATAAACTTCCTATATTTATACTAAAACTAGGTAACCGTCGAGGAGTTACTTTGCTCTAGGATGAGGACAAGTGTCTTCTGCATGTGCTTCTACTTCTATCTTCATGCCATGTTACTTTCCTCAACTGCTAAGCGAACTGCTTTTCCCTCCTTTCTTAAGATTTAAAATCACCTGTTGCTGATACGAGGTTTCCTTTTAGTCGAAGGCCCTGGAGCCCTTTCAGTCAAAGGCCGTAAGAACCTTCTGTTCGAAGATTCATTTTAACTCATAAATTTCTCTAAGTATTTTTCCAATCTGTCAAAGTATTTCCAGCATAGATTTGTTCAATCTATTTTTGTCCCATAAGGCTAATTTGTTGTGGGTGTCAAATTTAGGAGCTAACAAATTGCCCCCCCA